GTGAGAAAAGCAAATTTCCAGCAAAGCTTCGGCCGTTACGCGTCATAGGCTGGGTAGAAAAAGGAATAAGCGAAGAGATAGGTTTGTAGAAAAAAAGCAAAGACAGAACCATGATAATAGTTTTGCAATAATTAATATAATAAGGAGAAAGAAAAGTTTGTTTCTTTATCTTCTCTCTTGAAGAAATATGATAAGAATTTTTATTTATATTTATTCAAAAAATACATTTTAAATAATAAAATAAACTATTCATATTATATATTTAATACAATTCACAAACCTACGTAAATATTACAATAAAATATTTTAAGGATATCTAAAACAATATTTTTAATTATGTAGAATATTTTTCTATCAATTTCTCACCATATCGCACCACTTTTTAAATTTTCAAATGTAGTTACGTCTTCTGCGATATTAAATCAGACAAATTATTTTAGCAAGTGACATTTCTTAATGCATTTCTAATTCAGAACGTTTTTTATTCAATTTCCTTCAGAGAATTTTAGTAATCCCAAGGCTGTTGAATAAAAAGTTTAAAAAATAGAATTTTAAAGTCAAAAACACCATGTAAATAGCGACTCCCTCTCTATAGCGCCCGATTTTAAATACGTAGTACGATGCGATTTACATTAAAAGTGACTTGTCTATAGCACCTCCTCTCTATAGCACCCTATTTTGGTGAGTCCCAAAAGGTGGCGCTATAGACAGGTTTAACTGTATGATAATAATAAAATAAAATTTTTCCTAAACGATTATTGTATAAGATTAGAATTGTTTTCTTTGTATGCAAATTTCAGACGCACCTAAATTGTAGGTATTATGTGATTTTTTTGTCTTTTTTGTTGTTTTTGTGTAATATATGAAATATATGTAAAATAGATATGTAAAATAGGTTAGGTTAAAATGAAAATTTTATATTAATAAGAATCAGTGGGAAAGTGTGAGGTTTTCTCGGGCGTCTTACTGAACCTCCTTTACAGCTTGGAATTGTCTCCACGTGGTCCCTCGATATCTGAATTTAAAGGCAACTAGGGCTATCAGCCTTATCCCGCCAACAATTAATATAAACAATTTCACTCTAGATTCTCTATGAATATTTGACACTATAAATGATTATAATCATATTATTATTATCATTATATTAGATCATATAATCATCATTATTATTATTATTCTATAATCGTTGAGTTTTAGCATATCTGAACTCAACCATTTTTGTGGATAAAGGAGAAGAATCTAGTTGAATACATCAGCATTTTAAATGCAAATTGTATTTGACAATACAAAATATGAGCCGAACACAAACACCATACAATTCTAGTTTATACCTGCCATAAATATGAATCGCCCAAGGCGCAACCATCGTATTTTGTAGGATATTTTATGTTTAAAAGATAACTCTAAAAAATATGCAAAACCAAAGTTATTTATAGCAGAAGTTTATTGTATTCTATTTTTCAAACAACAACATAAGAAGAATGATCCAATACAGTATTAGAGCTCTAAAGAAGCGGTCTGGTAGATCAAATTGACCAAACCGCAGGGAGGGTTCATCTCTGATGAGCCAAGCCCTCTCAATATCTTTTCATCGCAATAAGAACATTAGAAGTTTGATTGGTGTGTGGAAGAAACATTCGTGTTGTAATGTTTTATTTGCTGTATATAGATGGCGTGTTATTGCCTTACATTAACATATAGGCTATCCAGGTTTCTGGTGCGTATCCATAGATCGCCAACAACCCGGTAACTATTTATAAGATGCATATATAATTATATACGTGAAGCTATATATATATATATATATATATATATATATTATTTTGACGAGAGAGGCGACCATTGCTTCCATATATATATATATATATCAAAAACAAAGAAGGCATATGCAGACCACGAACACATGAGTTTTTAGATAGCTGAGCGCCATATATATTATATATTATTTTGTTGAGTTTTTTATTAAATTCCTTAGTGAGATTAGATAATGGATATATATGGATATATCATAAATTTCTTTTTCTTGAAGTAATTGACAAATTTTAGTGTTGTAATCTGTTGTGTTCATAATTACTGTGTTTCTTCCTTTGTCTGAAGGTGTTATAATAATATATTTATTATGTTTTAATGATTTGAAAGCCTGTCTTTATTCTTGATTTAAATTAGTCTTATTTTGTAGTTCCAATTTTTTAATCATTGGTGAAACCTCTGATCTTATTTTGGCCATAAAGGTGACCATAAAGATTGGCGTTCAGCCAACTGAAATATTGGTAAAATAAATGGTATTTTGATCCAATATATGCCCTTTTATTTAAATATCTATCTATATAAGTGTGTTAAAAAGTGAGAGAAAAAGGTCAGGTGGATATAGTAAAAATAAAAAAAAATATCCTGACCGCCACATGAGCACCAGGATATGCCTATTTTATTTTCAATATAACCACCTGACCTTTTTTCTCTTTTGACATGTTTAGCATACTTAAGTAATTTTGATTCAATTACCTATTTCTTGATTTCTCGGCAATCAAAGAAATAGGTTTCATCAATAACACCATCAGATGGAAGGACAGTGTTCGATATCTAGGAGTATTCTTGGATCATCATTGTCTTTTCCAACGACAGAACGTTTGTCTTTTTCAAAAGCTTTTGAAATTCAAAGAAAATTATTATATTTATATACAACACATTTGTTATACAGTTAAACCTATCTATAGCGCCCCCTCTAAATAGCGCCTTCCTCTCTATAGCGCCCGATTTTAAATACGTAGTACGATGCGATTTACATTAAAAGTGACCTGTCTAAAGCATCCCCTCTCTATAGCACCCTATTTTGGTGAATCCCAAGAGGGGGCGCTATAGACAGGTTTAACTGTATTTATATATGACATTTTTCTTGCCATTTCAGAAGCTTTTTAAAAGGATAACGTAATGATCGTCGAAATATCATGCAATATATACGCAATTCTTTTTTCGATCCAAGAGATGTGACGTTATTTATTTGAATGCTGAATCTTTACTACATGCATTTTTACTTTTAAGTAAGCGATAGGACTATTTGAAAAAGAGAAAGTGTATTTACTTATGAGAAATGCGGATGATAATGAATAACAATTCATTTTAAAACCTAGGTAAAATAATCGTTGAATATATACCCACACACATACAGCTTTATTAAGACCACTGGTCTTATACAGATTCACCACAGAAAGGAAGCATAGATAGAGCTCCTATACTCCAGGTAGCGCAGAACCCAACAACAGCCTCCAGGTCCGACGCATGTCCAGTGGCCACAGATTTCATCGTCAAGGTTAGCGTATCACTGAAAAGGAGAGTGTGGAATCAGTCACGTTCTAGTCTTCACTTTCCTCATCCAAATGGACCATGATTTTTGTTTACGATTGTTGAATATATACGTAATGTAAAAGTGGTCCAATTTGAAACTGCTATCGACTAAGGGAAGGACGCGTTCCGACAAATGTGTTATTTTCTATATTAAAAAACTCTATACAATTCATATATTACTGTTAGATATATACAACTATAAATAGATGGGTGGCTTTTGTTCACAATAACTTCTTGAATTAAACATTGATATTTACTATTTATATTTTTAGAGAGTAAATATATAAGTTATAAAATATTTATATATTCAAGAAACTTAATCCTCTGGAATTTTTTCCCAAAAGAAAGTGTGCAATGCAGGATTCGATCTAGTGTCCCAATTGTCAAATTCTTCAATGGCATAAACTCTTTGTACGTTATTACTTATCCAAACCAACGAACCTACAATTTGGCTGTGGGAAAATTGTATTTTAATCCAATGGGTGCGGCGGATTTAGATCCAATTCTGATTTTGATATTCCAATGGATGGAGATATTGGATCTATTCAGTTTCACATATTCATTGGTTATTTTATTTTCTGAATCGATAATCGGAATAATTTGCATAAAGTTGAGAAAAAGCCGTGATTTTCGAGTTTATCTTCTTATTTCATTTCCTTCTCTTAGATATAAATTACTTTTTTTTTTGGAAAATTGATATTCTAACCATGTGGTTATTTTATTGGATATTTTAGCATCTTGTCACTTTAATATATATCCTAAAAGTGCCTATTTTGTACATATAAATTTTAGAAAATTAAAATATTTAGGCTCGAATATTTCTTTTACACACAAAACAAACTTCTACTATCCTTACTGCGATGAAAATATATCGGAAGAGCTTGGCTCATAAGTGGTGAGTCCTTTCAGCAGTTTCGCCAATTTAATCTACCAGACTCCTTCTTAGATCTCTAATACTGTATTGAACGATTCTGCTTATATATGCTATAATACATTATTAGAGTTCTTAGAAGCGGTCTGATAGATTAAATTAGCTAAACCGCTAGGAGGGTTCACCACTGATAAGCCAAGCCCTCCCAATATTTTTTCATTGCAGTAAGGATAGTAGAATTTTTATTTTTTTTGTGTAAAAAACATTCGTGGTTGAATGCTTTCATTTCCTGTATATATATGGCGCGTCGTTGCTTCACGCACACATACATATATATTCACAAAAAAATCATATACGACGCCACAACTATTTTTATTTATTTAATTAAAGAAAGCATTCTCTCGGGCAGGTTTCTTTGTTGTTGTTGTCTTGTCCAATGAAGAGCCTCAGATGTCTCCATTCATCTCTATCACAGCAGCAGCAATGTCCACTATCTTGGGTGTTTAAAGCTGCTGCTCTGGGTCCATGTCAATTTTCTGCAAGGCTGCGGCCATTCAGGTTTCTTTAATCAAGTAAATAGAAAGAGTGCGGCGTCTTATGCTTTTTTATTAGTCGAAATCGGCAATCCTGTGACATCCTTGTATATAATCCTTGTATATAATCCTTGTATATAATCCTTGTATATAATCCTTGTATATAATCCTTGTATATAATCCTTGTATATAATCCTTGTATATAATCCTTGTATATAATCCTTGTATATAAAATCCTTGTATATAATCCTTGTATATAATCCTTGTATATAATCCTTGTATATAATCCTTGTATATAATCCTTGTATATAATCATTGTATATAATCCTTGTATATAATCATTGTATATAATCCTTGTATATAATCCTTGTATATAATCCTTGTATATAATCATTTGTAATTAATCTGTGTTGTCGCTTATTCGCCATTACCACCTTTATGTTTTGAATTTGTATGATGACGGAATACATTGTTTTAATGCATATTTAATGGGTGAGATGCCACTTTTGGTATGTGAATATACAAGAAGGAAAATATTTAAGCACGTAAGTTTCTTTTTAATATAAATCAAACTTCTACTCTCTTTAGTAGAAGTTTGGATAATGTTCAAAAGAAACCTACATGCTTATATGTTTCACTTTTATATATATAGATGGCGCGTTATATATTATCCTATAATTACATGAATATATTACTTTAGGAATAATTGATCAATTCTGGCCCCTAAGGAAGAACTGATTCCTACCAGGAGTATCCCCATTCTCAACCTGCAACCCCAAAACACATTATTGACTGTATTGACTCATCCATTGATGAGCTCTACTCTTCCCCGGCAGACACCATCAAAAGTCTCAAGCTTTACAAGCTTGATACCTAAATATGATTGAGTGGAGATAAGAAAGAAGAAGAAGGAGTATCCCAAGTAGCGGGTAGGGGAACGGCCATTAGATATGATGGTTATTTTCCATTATCTCATAAGAAATCCCGGTCCAACAATCATCTACAAAGTATGATGGGCATGTCTGTGGCTATAAGAAGTCAGAACAATTCAACGCTACTTTATGAATGGAGAAATTACGTGCGGACATTGAAAGTGAGCACTACCACTTTTGTTAGCAATAAAAGTGTCTGTTTATTATGTTAGGAACGACCTCATCTGAAGTCAAATTACGACAGTATGTGGCTCATATTATTTGAATCAACGGTATACCTCTATATTTACCCTGTCGCCCTAAAGAATTTGTTTAATTTTTAGACACTGAGTAAAGAAAGGATTTAATTATAGATACATCTCACGCGTAATATGGAGTAAAATGAGGAAGATACTTTTTCTTTTTGGAATTGATTCTAACAATTTCTTAATGACCTGACTTAGTCTTGCACGATTTTACATTCCATTTGAGAATACAAGTAATAAATTCTAAGTTCAATCACGCCATATACGGGATATTGAATCAACACTTTTCTTCTCTCAGTAATTTATATCTCATTCAAGAGCTATATTTCAAGACCAAAATTGTTAAAAGAATTTATATATCTAATGTTCGTCCGTGCTTCCCGTTATCAATTGTGTGAATGTCAATTTCCCTAACCGATGCAGATAAGACTTTGACTAAACGGCAGAAACTATTCTCGTTGATCTCGTCAATAGTTGATATTTATTACGATAGATGGCGCAAGCCATCAGAAACTTTCAGTTGCATGATAAGGAGATGCCTTTTTAATAATTTATGTACCTTATCCCAGTACAATATCACATTTCTACTATTTTTTAAACATATAAAGTTTGGTTACATGTACATAAGTGAATTACGTATCAGATTTGACTAAACCTTGTTTATATCGCATGAATAGCGTATGGAAGGATAAAATAAAATATTGTTCTAAAACATAATTAATTATCCACTGCAATCTTACACGATTCTGTAACTCGCGGTCGCCCTTAAAGAACACTAATTAGGAAAAGGAAACGTCAGAACTAAAGAAGGATTGTAGTGGGTAATTAATTATATTTTAACTGAAAAGATGTAAACAATTTCTGAATAAAATAAAGCATAAGTATCTTTTCTTTCTCTACCAACCTCTTATTCTGGTATATGTATTATATATAACTTTCTTATTAAACTTCGTTTTCTTTCTCAATTTCTACATAGCAAGCCTTACTGTCAATGTTTAAGCCGAATATAATGACATTAAAATTTCAAAATAGTATTGTTGAATAAGAGTACACTCATCGACAAAACTTAAGGAAGTGAAAAATCTTGATTTCGCCGGTCATCTATTCTTTTTCTTTTTAGGACCGCAACAACTTTAATATACGCTATTGGAGCAAGAGTCACCGCGGCTGCTGGCACTAGACTTGCCCTCCAATAGATTCTCGTTAAAAGGTTTAGAGTGTACTCATTCCAATTACGGAGCCTCGTTAGAGTCCCGTATTGTTATTTTTTGCCACTACCTCACCGTGCCGGGAGTGGGTAATTTGCGCGCCTGCTGCCTTCCTTGGATGTGGTAGCCGTTTCTCAGGCTTCCTCTCCGGAATCGAACCCTGATTCCCCGTTACCCGTAACAACCTATGGTAGGCGCATAACCTACCATCGAAAGTTGATAAGGCAGACACTTGAAAGATGCGTCGCCAGTGCTAGGACTGTGCGATCCGCCATAGTTATTCAGAGTCACCACGACTATCGGAGTTGCCCCCGTTTGGTCTTGGTCTAATAAAAGCACTCTCACCCTAAAAGGGACGAGAGCTCAATTGCATGTATTAGCTCTAGAATTACCACAGTTATCCAAGTAAATGTGTACGATCTAAGGAACCATAACTGATTTAAAGAGCCATTCGCGGTTTCGTATTGCTATGGCGTGTACTTAGACATGCATGGCTTAATCTTTTGAAACAAGCATATGACTACTGGCAGGATCAACCAGGTATTTTTCCTTTTTAAGAGACAGAGGCAATTTTTTCTCACTCAATTATCTCTTGTATCTTCAATAAAGGTCACTGTGTATCAAATATCTCTTAGAGGTATTGTCTGAATACCTATATACGAGCTAAAGTACATGCTAAAAGGTACAACTTCCTTATGTTTTTTTCCATGAATGTACATTCAATATGAAAATATTGGTAGAAGTCACCTTTAAATATAATGTAATAGACAAAACAATTTTATTTAAAAAAGTTGAAGTCAAGAAACCAGTCGAAATCATTAATTTACTTGCTTAGAATCTAGGCGTTCTAAATACTGCAGTAATTCCATTAGAAATGGGCTTTAAAACCAACAAATAAAAACTCGTGTGTATAAAAGTGATATTTTTATTTCTTCTGTCCTCAAAGATTATGTCAAAAGTTTATTTAAAATACCCTTTTTAAAGAGTCTAGCTTCAGTATCAATATGATAATTTGAAACTATTATAGACGCTTATGACTCTTTTTAAAAAATTAAACAATTTTCTAGAAAGAAGTTTGAAAATTATACAGCAAATGTATCTTTTGAACGAAAAATCGAAATTTATTTCAAGGAGAAATAACGATTATTTCTAACCTTAGGGATGAAGTATGATAGGAGGAATTGGGAAGAGTAATGATAAACGAAAAAATAAAGTGTCCAGGGATAGGAATCGAACCCACATTGTTCCGCTTACCGGGCCATGTCCACTAGGCTACCCTGAACAGATTTTTCCTTTCGTAAATATTATATAAAGTATATTTTATTCAAATATATATATATATATATATATATATATATATAGGTTTAAATGAAAATTAATGATATACGGAAATAAACGTTATTTCTCCTTTAAATAAATTTACGGTATAATTTTCATACTTCGTTCTACAATCATAAGCCGCATTAAATTGTATTATAAACAATTTCCTATTGGCCTTACCACAATGAAAAATTAATTGGAGGGCCTGACTCATCAGTGATGGATCAGTATAAAAGGAAAACCGAGAAATGCAATGTTACAGCAGTATGGTATGTTAAACTAGCTAAACCGCTGGGAGAGTTCACCACTGTTGATCCAGGGGCCCTGCTATTATTTTATCATTGCAGTAAGGGCAGTATGAAATGGATATATTTTTAAAAGAATCATACGCGTCAAAAATAGGTAAATTTTCTTATGAAAGTGAAGGGTGCACATATTTCGGTATTAAATAAATTAATGTAATGATTCAGTTCTTAATGACACAATGTAGAGTTGTGATGCACTCACAGAGATGTCGTCTGCGCCAAGACACCAGAAGATCAGCAAGCAGACGATCCTACCTGCTCGTCCCGTTGTCTGCCTCACACTCCCATGGCGCATGCGTCCTCCAGGAAGTTTTGTGAGCAACAAGTGAAGTTGTCGGTTGCTCCAGAAGTACAGTCAGGCATCGACCCGTGGTTAGCATCTGAAAGGACCCGTTCGATCTCAGGACAAAGTGGCGGAAGTTGGACACTGTTGGACGTGCGAGGCCTATTCACATTTAGCTGGTCGATCATATATACATTTGTCATACGACATCAGTGTTCTCCAAGTGGGAGTTTCTCTGTTGTGACACCATATTTTCAAATGAATTAAATAAATAAAAATGTTTTTGGAGATGATTTTCTTTTTATTCTATTAAAGCAGCATCAATCTTTCGGACATCTCTGCCCTTCTACAGGGGAACAAATAAACGAATAAAACGCCGCCTGATGCCAAACACCGCCTTTTGGCATCAGGCGGCGTTATTTTTCGTTTATTTATATTCTCCTGTAGGAGGGCAGAGATGTCCGAAATCTTGAGATTTATTTCGATCTTTCGCCTGATGTCTATCGAAACTATTGCCAAAGAGTCGCACACAGATATTTTAAATGGATTTATTCATACAGCTTTATAGTTTTAGACTATAATACAAACAATACCTTTTTCTTTGTTCAGTGCTAAAATTAATGAAATCCCCCCGCCCTCTTTTTATTCTTCTCTTCTCTCTTTCGTTACAAAAAAAAAAATTGAACTTCCGTATTTTTCTTTAACTTAAATAATTTGGTCCTAAGAGACATGATTATTAGATGAATGAAATAGTCTTCTTTGATCAATTAACCCAATATTGAAATTATTTAGGAATAGATCTAAAAATAATGGATAAAATGTGAAGTTTGAATAACAATTGTTATCAGTCGTACAAGGTATATAGTCATCTGTCTATTGTTACCATCCGTACTCATTACTGAAAAGTCACATACAATTAATTTGGTCAAACTTGACCCTATTATAATATTATATAGTTTAAAGCCATTTTTAGTGCTAAAAAATTGATTTAAAAATAAGCGATACAAAAATGTTTAGACAACAAAAAACGCAGAGTCAGGCGAGAGACCTAGCCAGAGAAACAGTAAATGTCTGAGTGGCCGTATCTAATTTTCATATCGGAATACCTTTGCATATTTTATTACACCTAATGACATTTTAAATACGCGACTACTAGTTCTACTGGGACTACTTTTAAGTTCCTTATCTTTAAAGTTATAGAGCAAAACAAAGGTGTAGCTGAACCTTTGGCCATCAGGGTATAACCGCGCTGGAAGTTGGCGATCTATGGATACGCTCCAGGAGCCTGAATCACCTATATGCTACTACTTGAATAGATTTATTGAAGGTTCATTTTGAAAATTAAAGAGGATGGGGCAATATAGGGCAGCTTTCAATATACATATATATAGAAATAGAGATATATTTATAACCCAGGTTTCTGGAGCGCAGAACACCAACTACCCAGGAAGTCCAGCTCATTAGATGGACTAGTGTTGAGCGCTTTTACTCGTGTCTTGTTTAGATTGCTGAGTTGAACAATTTGACCAGAAAGTTCCATGCTGACGTTGAGTCTGGAAAGCTGGCCATGGAGCTAGGATTGAAGTGGGTCAGTCCAAGCTATATATATTGAATAATCGGTTAAATATTGTGTTGAAAACATTATAATTTGATAATCTGTTTCTTCACTTTTATTTATGTTAAGAGAAAATATTAAATAATATATCCTTGAGATATTTTAAATAAATAATTCTCATTTATTTTTAGAACTGGCTGTAATTCTGAATCCATTCATTCAATGGACCATCATCCTATGTTTATAATATTAGCCTTTTATTAATTTTTCCAAAATCAAATATAGGTGCAAGCACTTCTGACTAAATACGGTGAATTTGTAGACCACTACTTATATTTTAACGTACTTTAAGTGATAAATCAGAGAAAAACAGCCACATCAACTACTGGTTTATTTCAATTCCCGACGTTTCAGTGACTTCCTGTTCTCTTCAGGGGAATGATTACTTTTGATTCTAGGTCTACTTATATACTTACATGTATTTCAGAAAATCGTCACTGAACTATTGGTTGATGTGGCTGTGTTTTTTTCTTTGAATCAACTCTTAACCAATAAATGATCTTAAGTAATAATGTAATCGATATTTTCAGAAGCATACCAATGGAATTTAGAAGGGGGAGCTAGCGGGTCGGCGGATCGTTGGAAATAAAATATTTAAAAAAAGGTTGAATAAAATCATAACTTAATTCATGTTAGAAATAATTAAAAAAATAATAATTATAGTTTTTCTTAAAACGACTAAAGTTTATATTATTAAAATCTATAAAGAGTTATTCTATTTGTTTAACCAATGGCATTTTGTATATTTACAGAGAACGAAAAGAATCTCCTAAGGCCCGAACAATTTGAATTCCAGCTAAAACGTTCCACCTTCCATCAACTGGTAGTTGTCACAGAGAAGATCAGAAGGGCCAACAAATCAAGACAACTAACAGGAGGCATCTTTTTTGACATCTCTAAAGCATTCAAAAAGGTTTGGCACGAAGCCCTTTGGTACAAAATGTCCAAAAAGAACCTTCTCGGAGATATCATCAAAACAAAGAGTTTTCTTTGCGATAAAAATTTCAGAGTTAAAGTGAAAGACGTTCTGTCGACTCCAAGACAAATTCGAGCAGGAATTCCTCAAGGTTCAGTCATCGGCCCCTCCTACTTTAACATATTCATAGATGACCACCCTTGCCCAGGAGGAATGTCCCTGCATCTATACGCAGATAACGCTGCAACATTAGTTTCAGCTTACGATTTCGACACCATCTACCTAACAGGTTATCCCAAAAATTCCTAAACCTTCGCAAAATATTAAAATACCAATATTATTAGCCATAATATTATTCGCCGTTAGGTATAATGTCTTTGTATTATGTATTAATATGTATATTCCCCATAATAATATTATTCTCCAAGTAATAAGAAAAACAATGTTTAAAGAAAAGAACGAAATTCTGGGACAGCCTTATAAAATTCAAGAATCCCTGGTGTTTGTCAATATTTGGTGCGACGACTGGCGGGTTGGATGGGACCCACAAAAAATGGAAGTCGTTCTTACTCAGACAAAAGACTCAAAATAAAGCATCCACCCAGATGATCTAGGCTTCTCTGATGACCCATTAAAATGGAAGGACAGCGTCCACTATCTGGACATCATCCTTGATCAACATCTGACCTTCCAAGAATACGTCCAGAATCGAATAAATCTCGCAAAAGCAGCACAACACAGGCTAGCCTTACCTTTGGGAAACAAAATAAAATTATCCCTACTCTGCAAACGCACCATATACACGTCTATTATAAGACCAATTCTAACCTATGGCCACCCAGTCTTTATAACCGCAAACAGAACTACCTTGAAAAATATTCAAAGCTTTGAAAACCAGATAATAAAGAAAATAATAGAGGTCATGGTTTGTCAGAAGCAGTATCATTAGAAACGACCTCAAAAGAAGAAAATATAAATGATTTCATAATAAGACAAACTTTCAACTTCTATGAAAAATCAGAACTCTAAAGTATAACCTTCCAAGAAACTTGCATTTACAAACAAGAAACAAAAAAGGAGACCAAAACTTCTATATCGATTAA